AGAAGGGATTCCTTCCGGTTGATGAGAAAAAACAACCTCATTGACCAGAAGGGATTCCTTCTGGTTGATGAGGTATATATAACAACCTCATTGACCAGAAGGGATTCCTTCTGGTTAATGAGGTATAACAACCTCATCAACCAGAAGGGATTCCTTCCGGTTGATGAGGTATAACAACCTCATGAACCAGAAGGGATTCCTTCCAGTTGATGAAGTATAACAACCTCATCAACCAGAAGGGATTCCTTCCAATTGATTAGGTCTAACAACCTCATTGACCAGAAGGGATTTCCTTCTAGGCAATGAGGTGTAACAAACTCATTGACTGGAAGGAACTCCTTCCGGTCATGTTGGAGCAACTCCCAAACCCCCTCAAGCATGAGGGGTGGTTTTGGGAGCCAAATCCCACAAAATTCAAAAAATATAATATCAATGGATGGCCGACTCCCAAAGTCAGCCATCCATTTGGAAAAACAACCATCAAGCAACATTCAACAACTGTAATTGGGAGTTGTTTTTCCAACCCCCTATATTTATGTCAATATATATAAGTCACACAATTTAGTGCAGAACCTTAAAATTTATAACATATAATGTGGTGTCCAAACAGGGCCTAAGTAATTATCATTTATCTTTCACTCCTTTATCCGTGAAATACCTGTACCACAATTGGTACCAGTTCTACAGTATTTTCACAAATAAATATGCACTAGTATTGAATGTTATTTATTAATTTTCAATAGAATTAATACATTCAATACATGTAATTATCACAATAATGCCCTCATTATTAGAAGATCAGTTATTGTGTAAAGATCAAGGGCTACTAGTAGATTGATCAACTAGTAACAGATCATGATGCCACTTAATGATCACACCAAATAATGATCATTCAATCAATTGATTTGCTCAACCTCTTGGCCAAAAAACCCTTGGTCCTGAGCACTTCACCTTTCCCACATTCGATATTCTAGAACTTATAATCTGTGTCACTTCAACTGATTAATCCCCAGAATATTCAGACACCAGTTAAACACAATTACCATTCATATTGATAGATTAAATTTATCTCAACATAAATCAAGATCTTCCTTATTGTTCTTGTTTAAAGGAAACAACTCTACTCATGCACAACGCTGAAGGAATTTCTGAATATTCCATGGTAAAATAATTGATCAAACATCAACAATTCTGTTAAAGCTTATCTTTAATTGTTGGGCCAGCCGTTCAAAGAACCTTAGACTGAATTTCTTTTAAAGATAGAAAACCAGAACTGAATAAAATGCATTAGAGAGGTATTGACAATTAGAAAATGAGAAATAAGACTTGACCCCGCATACCCAAGAAGTTAATTGTAAATGATGACGGACAACTAAGGATAAGAGAGACAGGACAATAGTAGAAGCAGAACTGAATAAAACAGGATTAGTTTTTGATTGTTAACCGCGACAGAGTGAAGATAAGGAGCAGGGTCTGAAACCGAGACAGAGTGAAGATAAGGAGCAGGGTCTGATGAAGTGCTTTGACAGCAATTCTCACCAAGTTGAAGATAGGACGAGACGTCCAGAAGGATTGATTTTTATTGAGTTGAGAATGTAGTTGTTTTAGTTTGTTGATGTGGTGATGTTGGTGTTTTGAGATAGGATTGGTGATGAGGCTGGTTGGAGATGGCTGAGGGAAGAAGATTGACCGAGGCCTGGGAAGAAAAGGAAGGAGTAGGAAGACACTGGGTTTTATACATGAGAGATTAGGTCTCAGATGGAGATGATTATGGTTCTGACATTTGACATATATGTCAGATGTGGAAATGGTTGGCGCAGTTAGAATTGGGTGACGCAGTATTAGGCTATTGGTCTGAAGTATCTCTACCAATTGGACCTGATAGCGCATCAAGTTTCAACACCATTCCCTTTGGGGAATAAATAATCCCAGTTTTTACCCTGGGGCCTGGACACCTATCATAAGTACCTTGTATTGATATGGATGGGCTGTTGATAGCAAGCCTCTCAGTAAAGAACATACTAATAGAGTGAAAACTTCTCAACAGTATTGGTATTAACACCCACTACCTAACACTCAACACACTCAAAACTTCATACAACACTCATAGTGACAACCTTTACCCTTAAATACATCAGGTTAGTTACACAGAGTCTGACAGACTCAGATATGGGTTTGTGGAACTATTGACAAAAAATGTTGGTTTGTGTAACTGACGGCAAAAACAAGCTTACAGGAGCTTACCAAACATTTACGGAGCCTATCTCATGGGTTTCATGTATTGGGTGTGTTTCTTAAGTTCCACAATCACATGTGGAAGGAAGTACACCTGGGGTGTATGTAAATATGTACAGGGGCTTGCAGATACTTAGTACATAGAAGGTCATTTCAGCGGTGGACCTCTACGCTACGCTTTTGGCCCAAAAAGCGTAGCGTAGCGGCGCTTTTGTTCATCCATAAACTGTAGTGTTAGCGGTTTTTTAGCAGTTTTTAGCTACGCTACGCTGCGCTACAGCGCTTTTAGCGGAAAAAGCGGCCAAAAACCGCTAAAAACCGCTGTAGCGCAGCGTAGTGGGCCCTTTTTTGCGGCCCACACGTGTAGCGTTAGCGGTGTCGTGGCGGAATTCCGCTACGCTACGCTAATTGATATCAGCGATTCCGCTGCGTTACGCTACACTAACCACTACGGTTAGTGTAGCGGCCCACCGTTGGTCATGTGGCATTTGATTTGTGGCTGACAGCCCCATTAAATGTCACAGCCCGCTTGAAGAATCAAAAAGAAGAGGAAACCAACAAGAGACTTACCAGATGGAGAGTTTGAAAATGCTTGGCCAGAGTGGAGATCAAATCTTGATGCATTGATGAAAACAATCTTGCACCCAATATCCAAACCACAATGGCTGAAAAAGTTTTCTGGCTGTTCAATCAAGCCCGGTTTATTCAAGTAATGTCGGATATTAGTAACTTGTTTCCATGATATTCCCATATCATGTGAAGATTGCCATCTTTGAAAAGGGTGGTGTTGATTTTTCATTGAGTTGAAAAAAAAACTCAGTTTTAATCTCTTTTGTAAACTTCCCCAGGCTCTTCTTGTCAGTCTGGATGAGATTGGGATCTTTTTCCTTGAATCTAATGCTCTGTTTCAGGTGTTGGAACACTTCATAAACCTTTGACATGGCATCAAAAATATTCATGCCTTTTCCCATGAAATTCTCATGTTTAAGCTTGTGGACTTCAGGCTTGATGATTTTGTTAGGTTTGCACTCCTTTTGCATAAGACAGTTGTTCATGTAGGTAAGTTTGTTGTTGATTTTAATTTTTCCCTTTTGCCTTTTAACTTTTTTTTTTGATTCAGCTCACAGAACCCCTTCATTGGCAAGGCAATGGTCTTTTTTCTGCTCAACTTTGAGGTCCAAGTCATCTGGGTCCACAATATTTGATGCAAATATGAACATCCAAAAATTATCACATTTGCAAGCTAACAAACAGTCAACAAAAAATAAGAAACAAAAGAAACAAAGAAATAAGAAGGTGAGCAATAATAAAAACTAACCCTGTGTGAATCTTGCTGTTATCCTCATGAGATATCATGAGTTGGAGTTGACGCCCAGTGATCCTCCCAGCCCAAAGGTTGAAATGGGCTCAGCCAAACCTGGCTATATTTCAAGTCCCCTCTCCCCCTATCCTTCCTGATCAAGCCCTCTGGGAACAATTTAAACCCCTGGTGGCACTCAGACAAGCAGGACTTTGGATTGTTCCCAGACTGGCTTGCACCAGCATATAACCATCAAGGATGAGACAGCAAATAGGAAGGATTTAAACACACCCAAGAGATTGTTTTCCATGATATGCTAGCAGATACCAGTTAGTTGTGAATTTTTTAATTTCCTTCTCTCTCCGGAAACCACACTGTATCTGCCTGTGTGCATTTCCACTGAATTATTTATCTCTTGTCTAAATCATAAATCACAGATGGTTTGCCACTTGAAAAGTATTGAATGTTTATGAGAAATTGCAGTCTCTTTCCTGAAAATTCTTTGCTCATTTATTGTTATAACCGTGGCTCAGACCAACTAAGACAAGAGGAGGAGTGACCAAAAAAAACCTCAAGAGAGATAAAATAAAGGACCCTTAAAGAGGGCTAGAAGTTTGCTAGGTTGCAAGTGTAAACCCCCCCCCCCTTGAGTTGGGGTTCACAAACCTCTCACTCACATGTCACGCCCTCCTTTTAGTCTTCATCTTTCAGTTCCCCTTCCTGGCTCTGCAGAGATCTGTTCCCTCCCATCTCTCTGAGCCAGGTAAGTCCTATTTCTTTATTTCTTTTCTTATTGTTTCTCCTTTTCTAGATTGTACTGAGAGATCTGTTCCCTCCCATCTCTCTGAGCCAGTAATCAATTCCCCCCCCCCCCGTGTTTGGTCTTAGGAAACTGTTCAGGCTTCACTAGTCGTGTCCGAACAACGCCTTTTCTCAGCTCATTCAGTGAAGGACAAATCCAGTCCTTACAGCAAGTTGCATGATGTAAACGCACACATGCCACAAGAGGTTGTTTGCTGTAGAATCATCAAGGATCAGGCACAGAAGACTTTATGGTGTTATTTCCTCATGATAAGCAACTGATAGGCTACACAACTGGGGGGGCTGAGTTGTGGGACATCAGGAGAGAACTACATGCATATTTAGATGGGAGCAATGAAAAAGGAGTGGCATAGAGGTGAAATTTCAACATTTATGACAATCAAATAATTGAGTTGAGTGCAAGTATAACATTGGGTCTTTCAAGGTCCTAATTTCTAAAACCTATGCAAAGAGGAAGTGGTAGAGAACCCAAGTTAAAATATCTACTTGAATAAGATATGGCTGAGAAAAATGAATGGGAAAGGTTTGAGCGGGATTGATGTATATTTTATGTAATTGAAACACATGGATTGTTTTTGAGTATTGACGTTTGTCTCTCTTTTCCTTCATTTCATTTCCTATACTTGAATTTTCTACTAGTGAATCATACTTTCCTCGCATTGGACTTGAGTAGGATTGACTTTTCCGTATATTGTCTAGCCAAGTTCGCTAATACTTGTGTAAAGTCGGCAGAGAATTCTGGACTGATTTGTCTCGCCTGGTGCGTCAATTGCGGAATTCTCGACTTGAGCCCTCTAACCTGTTCATCCGCAACGTCGATCATATCAGGACGGGTTAATGTCGAAATAACCCTCGCAAAGTCGGACGTCATTTCGAGCGCTGCGTGTTGGTTCTGCTGAGGGTATTTGTCCACGAGTTCCTGGTGCGTGTTCACACAGATAAATCCTGTCAAAATAAAGTAAACCAAAATCAAAGGGATCGGAAAGATGAATTAAGCGGACTGAGAGAGTTGCATTGGGGAGAGAGACATGCGATGGTCGTACTTCGTGCACCTTCAATAGAGGTAGATAGTACCAATTGACTGGCCCCTAAGGCGTACAGCACGATGCATGCTAAGGAAGTCTTACTGAAAAGCATTATGTCGTATTTGTTGAGTTCAAAGGAGTGATGTATAGTGAAGGTATTGTGCTTATCAAAGCTAAAAAAAATTGACGACTCAAATAGAGCTGGTCAAAAGCAAAGAGAGTCAAGAACCTGTCTATTTATAATGATTCCGTCGCTGTCCTGAAGCAGGAGGTCCAGCTGAGTGTAAAAGCCATTTGCCGCTACGGACACAACATTCAATACCCACATCAACTCCTGACAGGCGTGGCGAGTTTGCGACCCCAATGAACATATCTTCGAGTCGCGATTCTGAAGCAAATACAATCGAACTAATCATTGAGGTTTGGTTTGAGGACTGAGCGAAAGATTGTGTGAGGGGGTTAGTTTCGGGTCGTTAGGCTGCTTCACCGATGGTAAAGACGCGTGCTCCATGGCGATATGTATCAAAAGAGATTCCTAGGTGAGTCAGGCCCTGGGTTGGGTCCATGGCACAAAATTAATTTGCCTGGTGCCCTTCAAACACACACCGATCGGCTCCAACACCACACAAATCGCCTTTGCTCAACTTCTTCAAGCACCTCCGGTCGGCATCTCCTTCAACCTAAGGTGTGTCAAACACGTCCCAATGACTTGTCTCGCTAAAAGAAATCCCTCAAGAGTAAGACGGAGTTCATGCAAATGGACTCGATCTCTCTTGGGGTAGCATCGCATTTCAATCACAGCCGGGAGAGGCTGGGAGGTCACCAAACCTGCCTCGAATTCCGGTTGTACCACCAATGCTTAACAACAGGAACCGTCCGAATAACCGGACCGATTATTATCTGACTGTGCTCCTTTGCTGCCCGGCTTGGTCTGCTCCTGACAATTGAAGTCATTACCAGATGCTTGTTCTAATTAACTATCGGTCTCCTCGCCTGATTAAACCGACCTTTTCTACTATCAACATTGTTGCCTGATTGGCCTAGCTTCCTCTCCGACTGTTTCTTTGCTGCTTGGTCGGCGCTAAAACTCCTGACCTGATGCGCGTTTGAAACTGAATGTTGGTATGCTTCCCTGATCAATCCTTTCTTACTTCTTGCTTTCTAAATGTTTCTTTCCTGCTAGTCCTACTCTAGCTATTGAACTCCTTACTCCAGCACTCTCTTTCCGTATTACACTATTGGTTACATAGAAATTAATAATGATGGCGATGACAAAAATCTGATACAAAAAAGAGCAATATTTTGAGACATAATATGGCAAGTTTTAATCTCACTTCCAAGTAAAGTAAAGGAAAACAAAAGGCCAATGGAGAAAGATCAGAACTGGCTGTTGTAATAACATCTGATCATGCAACAAATTTATGGATTCAGCCAAAGAGAATATAAAAAAATGAGCCACAAAATACATATGTGGTATTCCTTTTCCCGCCCTTGCCAAGCCAATTTTTGGCTGATTGATCCTAGCCAGTTAGCACCAGAATTAATCCAATCAAATTGCAAGTTCTGAAACCTTGAACTAACAGGGGGGGGCAAGGCTATTTTCAGCTCTATTTTCTCAGCTTCTCTTCTTCTCCTGTAGTGTATTTACAGATAAGACTACAGTACATAGTGTGCAATGCCATAGGCCAAATTGCACTTGAAAAAAAAAAAAAAAACCAATTAGCACCAGAATTAATCCAATCAAATTGCAAGTTCTGAAACCTTGAACTAACAGGGGGGGGGGGGGGCAAGGCTATTTTTGAGGTGTTTCTGATCATGAAATTATAAATTTTTTGGGATGGTCAAAAACTTCAGAAACCACTCAATCTGAAAAATTAAAAAAAAAAAAAGAATGCCCCTCACAAGCACCTTAAAAATGATTCTGAAGTTCAATCATGAACCCTACTATGTCATTTGTGGTCAGATGCTAGCTGGGGTGACTTCAGTCAACTAAAAGAACCCTGGCTTGATTTCATAACACAATACTCTAGGTAGCTTGATTGGAATGCGACATGTGTGCTACTTTCATCCTCCTGACAACAATTAAACAATGGCAGTCTTACTCTTCAAAGCAGAAGGTGATAAGAGTTGTAATTCAGCTGTTGTTGGTTCACGGTGAATAGATTGTGAGTTGTGATGAGTTCTTTGGCAAAGAAGGGTGAGGTGGATGATCCAAGCAGTCTTATCAAAAAAAACATTTCTGAATGTAATTGTATGCATCAAATTTACAATGCCCCTACTGAAGCATCCAGTTTATTCTATCCAGGCCTTTTTCAAACTAACTGTTTATGATAAATTTCATCTCATCATTCCCATATTAATTGCCTACTTTTTCATAAATTGATACATGCACTTCTCATTGCCCATTTTTATGCAAACTCAACATTGGAAATTCAAGAATGATGCCAAATTCAAACATTGGCTCTATGTAAACAAAAAAGAAAAACCCTGGCCCCACACATTTGTTTATACTAACCCCTCTGCCCCTGCAAAAAAACTATACATTTTACGTGACGACCATTCTGGTCAAAAAAGTCCATTCATACATGTATGGTGAGTACCATTTTGGCACTTTGGCCAAAAATTCATACATTTTGGTTACCCACGGCACCTCTACAGGGGGTTTCCTGGGTCCTCCTTCAACACAGTTCCCAATTTACCCCAGCACTCACCAACATTAGCCTTTAAGCAGCCTTTGCGGAGGAGTACCATCATTTCGCACTTGCCATTGAAGTTCAACATCAAGACATGTGTTGGAAAAGAGAGAGTTGGCCCGAGTTGACAGCTGCAATTTCCACAGGGGCAGGTTTGGAATCGTGATGGATGGTCTGCCGTCTATAGATATTCAAGCAGTTCGTTACACATTCTTCAGCATTCTTCGTGCTCATCACAGGGAGTGCGAGGGAGTGCGTACGATTATGATGTGTAATATGTATGGCCTCCGCCTGCAAATGCCGACATTTCCGAAACGCAGCCTTACATAGTCTGATCGTGCATGTGCGTTTTTATTTAGGAGTGAGGCTCTGGAATCCTGGCACACAAGATCAAGGCGAGCAAAAGGCATCAAGGACTCGCGAATCGCGATGCCTTGCGGACCAATCATGGCCAGGTTAAACATATTCCCTACATATGATCGCGCTGCAGCGAGCATAGGCTTCCATAATGCTGTGCCCACCTGGCCAGACTTCCCTAGGCAAATTCCTGACACTCGCAACAGTGTCCAGCGTAGATCGCCTTAAAAGAGTGGACTTGATGTCAGACTAACCAGGCCTATGTAGGCGAGCTCGGGTACTAGCTCCCGATGTGATCCTATTCTAAAGGGACAGGCACATGCACAGACAATTAAGGAAGGAGCATCGATGCACACTTTGATGTCAGAGAATAGCTTCACTGGATACCGAGTCCCAACCCCCTGGAGATCTGCGACCGCCAGTCAAGCAAGCGAGAGCTAGACTAGTCCTAGATGGTATCTTGTAGCTCAGAGGATGGATGCCCGCAGCCTGGGTCAAATCGATAATGTCATTTCTCATCACCTTCCATTAATAGACTTCAAGACCTCTTCAACATAATCTGCCCTTGTCCTATCGGTGTACGAATCCCTCCTTATAGGTTCGCGAATGATGGGCGCTGGAAATACGTTTGACCCCTTTGGCCAGCTAGTCCTCAAGGTCCAACCCATCGAATCGAGTGTAGAAGCTCTAACTTTCAAGGCTTCCTTTCTAAAGCGGTCTTGCAATGGCGATGACCTTAGATCCTTGCTTCTGTCGACTGAAAGGGTTTCCTTCAAGGACACCTTTTCTGACTCATTGTACCACCCACCACGTTCCATCGGAATTTCATTTCGACCTCCCCGGAATAATATCAAGTTTTATCTCTGCATTATCGTGGTCGCTGCCGCCCTCATTGTGATGATCTGTCTGACTGCCATTGGCTTTGGAGGAAGAAAACATACCAACACAGCTGCCACCCCAAATCCGAATCCAGACTCCGATCCAAGCTCAATTCCACCCCGAGAGCGGTTTACATCAACTGAGTACCGTGCTAATTGGACAAACCCTGATGTGGACGTCCCTCAAGTAGCTTACGATGTCATCCCGCCTGTGGATTCAATCAATGGACGCGGTCTTGGATGGAGTGTGCTTTTTATTCATGGACTTGGTGCTCTTAACGCTTCAGACGGCTATCGATGGCGTGACATTTTGCTTTCAAACTACTCTGAGCCCCAGCTAACAGGGAATTCTTTTGGGAATTTGACCGGGGTGAAATTTATACTTCCCAAAGCGCCCATCCGACCCATTACTGTCTATGCCGCACAAGAGAACCGAGGAGCACGTCCCGGTTGGTTCGACATCAAAGACTGGCGAGACCTACATTATTTAGAAGATGAAGAAGGACTGCGCCAAAGCGTCATCGGACTCTCCACCATCCTGAAGAATGAAGCACTTGCAGGTAGAATTCAATTAAATCAGACCATTATTGCGGGCTTCAGCCAGGGTGAGTAGGCACTGCACTTTTTATTCTCTTCCATGGCAATTTTATATATGTTGAACGCGAGATGGGTTACTTTGAATTCCAGGTGCAGTGATGTCCCTTTTGCTAACGCTAACACTACCGCAACCACCGGCTGCTTGTGTTATGATGGTAAGCCTCTCATTTTCTCTTGCTCGCGGGAGCAGATTGCACAGGTTAATCAAATTTAAATTATTTGCCAACCCAGTCAGGATATCTACCCCTACCTCTTCGTTTAGTTGACTTAAGATCAGCCTCATTAGATGAATATAGGAAAACTTCGCTTTACTGGCTCCATGGTACAGATGACGCGGTATTGAATTATAATCAGGCGCGGGCTGGAATGAAATTGTTCAGCTCTCTCTTTTCGGATAGATTCCTGAGAGCAAAATTCAAGACTTTCCTCGGCTTAAAACATGGGTTCAACATGGGCGAGCAAAAGGTTGTCACAAATTACATTGACGGGATAGTCTCCCGAAGCACTAGTGGCTCTTTTGATTCTTCTTTGGACGCGTCAGTCGAACCTGAGAACGAAGGCGATGTGATTCAGTTTAATACCACCTCTTGATCAATTCGGAACCAAGACTTGCTGGGTGAACAAGTCCATGACTTGCAATGAGCTATCTCGAGCTCTGCGATTGCGGAACTTTCCTGGTTGCACACACGGCCAGGCGACCGACCTTGTCTGGTGCTCGTTCGGCACGGAACCTCAAAGCCCGGTTTGGACGCGACGTAATTAAGTTTTGAAAAGAAAGCGACACAATTCGAATCGGGTTTCACAACAACGATGACGGACGAAAATCAAGAAACCAGCGCCCTTAGCTCGTGCAACCAATCAGAACCGATGCTAAGCAAAAAGTTAATACATTCAGAGAGAAAAGGTCCAAATCTTCGATCTTCAGTTCCAATGGATCCGGCCCATCAGATGATCGGTACCCCAGGACTTTGCGCTACAAGTTGACATCCAATCTCGAAAAGCAATAATCGTCTTGTTTCCTGACACTTGAATCTGTCACAACTACTTATCTTTGATCAGAAACTCCAAAGGGAATACTCAGCAGAACAACAAAATTGAACTAGTTTCAACAGAAAGGAAAAGTTACATATTTGTGAAAATCCGTGTTTTTTATATGTACCGTACACACATCAAAATTGTTTTTAACATCCACAGAATTGTTGACGTCTTGAAGTTGTCGCGTGTCAGGATACACCAAGCTCTGCTTTGTCTATACATGTATTTAAAAAGTATTTATTTATTTTATATGGAACACAACACCATGTACTTGTGAATACAAAGTTCGAAAGGACTGGGATAAACAGTGGTGCTTGAAGCATCAAAATCAGATCAAAGGAAAATTGATTTTCAATCAAAGACTTCACTCAAATAAGCACTCAAGTCAGCCTAGGGCTATGCCCCTGTACCTGAGGGGTTAACTACATGACACCTTATCTACGACAAAACCACCATATTCTCACGTTTAACAGGAATAAAATCTATTTGTTCATCTCTAAGGATCAATGCCAAACCTAATCGCACTGGAAAAGAAATGTCTTGAAGGATATGAGCATTCCAGACATAATTCTCTCCACTGACCTTGTCGTCTGGGCTCATTGATGAGAACCAGCTTTTCACTCAACAGTTGAGTCCTGGACTTTGCTGAGTAATTGCGTGTTGTGAAAATTACAATCCCAATTTTGCCTGTGATAATTTTTTCTCAATAAGCTCAGTTTGAGGATCTCCACCTTGGAATTTCCCCCAATCTTTCTGCATGCCAATGTTAAGCAGCATGGATCAGTTTTGCAAATAGAAGGAAACAGTGATCTGCAGAGTTATGCTTAGTTTCCAGTGATGATATACGTGTTGCAATGTGTGATGGATATATGGATGGGAGTAGAAATCCGGGCAAGAGAAGAAAAGGATATAAGAAGACGATGGAGAACTTGTCACCAGTGCATATGTACAATGCGAAAACAAAGCATCAGCTGTAGTGCAAAAGATTCCTTTGAGAACGAGATTTGGAAATTGATCAGATCATAGGGATTCCTGCCATGGACTGAATCTCAAGATCTCAAACCGGTCACAAGAGCACAAGCTGAAGAAAGTTTTGTTGGAATCCGAGAGGCTTCGAACAGATGCTCAAGTCAAATCGACCCAAGCTGGCTCACAAGATCCGAGGTTAATTGTGATTGGAGGAAAAATCAAGATATGTTGAGATCCACAAAAATATGCATTCCTTTTGAATTGATGTTCACGAGGAAATCGGTGCCTAAACATGTAGCACTGCGTGTTCGGAAGCATGGATATATTCTTGGTATGGGGCAAGCGCCGGCGTTACCCAATCTGTGTAAGAGGATGAGAACAAATTTCGTCAACTAATGATAAAAAAAATATGTGAACGAGAGGTTTGAAACTGACTTTTAATGAAATGATCGACCTGTTCAGGAGCGCGACCAACGAAGGTTTTGGGGTCCAACAGTTGGTCCAATTTGGAATGAACGGGTTCGAAGAAGGGGTCGTTTTGGATGCGCTCAATCAAGTCGTTATCGCCGCCTTCCTCCTTGATCACCTTAGCGGCCTGATGACTCAACACCCGGATCTGCTCGTGACAATGTTGTCGATCACCTCCCAGCCTGACCATCTCCATGATGATGTTTTCAGTTGCCATGAATGGCAGTTCGGCATGGATGTGTCGCGAGATGATCGCTGGATAGACTACCATTCCTTCGCTCACGTTTTGCAATGTGGTTAAAATGATATCGGCCGTCAAAAAGGCCTCCGGAATCGTTACTCGTCGGTTGGCCGAATCGTCTAGGGTTCTCTCAAACCATTGCACTGCAGCGGTCATCATGGCGTTTTGCTTCAAAGAGGGGATAAGAAACATGAGGACCGGCATCAGAACAGAAAGATATAGGGGTAAATCTCAATAGAAAATACTAACCTGAAGGACCATCAGATGGCGAGCCAGTGAGCATATCCGCTCACAGCGCATTGGGTTTCGTTTGTATGCCATGGCACTACTTCCTATTTGACCAGACTCAAAAGGCTCTTCGATTTCCTTGAGGTTTGCTAGCAAACGGATATCAGTGGCGATTTTGTGAGCGGTGGCGCCGAGAGAGGCAAGCGGAGCTAAGGAATCGATATCGATTTTGCGAGTGTAGGTTTGGCCTGAGACGGGATAGGCGAATTTGAAGCCGGATTTTTCGGTGACGAGCTCGTCAAGTTTCTCGACTAATTCATGATTCCCATCAAAAAGTGCAAGGAATGATGCTTGAGTGCCAGTTGTGCCCTTGACCCCTCGGAAGCCTAGATCTTCATTGGCTCGTACCAGATTCCTCAAGTCCATCAAGAGCTCTTGGATCCATAGTGTCGCCCGTTTTCCAACGGTCGTCAATTGAGCTGGCTGGAAGTGCGTCCATCCTAGTGTTGGCAGGTCTTTGTATTCGTTCGCAAACTTCGTTAATCGGGAGATCACCACGGCCAACTTGGGTATCAGGATTTCAAACCCTCTGCGTAAGAAAATCAGATCGGCATTGTCTGTAACGTAGCAAGATGTTGCGCCGAGATGGATGATCGGTGCAGCCTTCGGACAAACCTGATAGGAAAGGAACAGAGCGAAATTTATTATGTGGATTAATTTTTGCTTGAAAAATGTGACTAGAAAATAAAAAAATATGGCGCCTTAGTCTTACCAAACCAAACGTGTGGACATGAGCCATAACATCGTGTCTCCTTTTACGTTCCTCATCCGCGGCAATTTCCATTTGTTTGTGGTCCAAAACCTGTTCAAAACACATATTTATTTTTTTAGTTTGAAAAATTTATCATTCACTTAATCTCTTAGGGCAGCCTTAACCATAGACTTGGAAGATTAGCGTACCAGATTAGCCCTCATTTCTATAATGGCATCTTCAGAGATTGGCAATCCAAGCTCTCTTTCAGCTTCGGCTAAATGGAGCCATAGCTGTCGCCAAGTACCAAATCGAGTTTGGCTCGAGAACAGGTTCGACATTTCTGTTACAGATCAAACATCAATAAATTCTCAGTTTCAGTTGCTTGTGTTCTTTTCCTTGTCGAAATCAAAATCAGAAAACCATGATCACTCACCGGCGGATGCATATCGTGATGCCAAGGGTGTCTGGTAAGTTTCCAGGGACGACGCAGAAGGCATGGTGGTGGAAATTTTTAGTTGGTCCTGTGTACCTTGCAGCGGATCTCCGAGAATTTTCGAATGTGACCCCTTCACAGCTGCTTCGGGTGCGCAGCTGCACTCTTCTGGGCTGGGTCGGGACAGAGCTGTGACAGGGCTGATGTCAGCCACGTTTCGGAGTTTTTTCCGGGGTTCTCCACTGCAAATACTCTCAAGTCGGAGTTTAGTGCGCTCGGCTGAGCTCAGCCGGCGATCAGGCTGAAGATGGCCCGGATGGTTGATGCCAAGACCGGTGGAGGATTGCTGACTGAAGGCCGCTTGGTCATGAGGCATGCGACTATCCATCACCTGCCCGTCTTATATCTCCTCAACTAGCCTCCGGCCATGGGCGTCCAGTGACACATCTACCTCTTCAATAATCGATCCGAGCGCCCCTTTCGAAGTCGTTTGTTGCATCAAGCGAAACGCTACGAGTTCATAGCTAAGAAAAATTCAAAATGTCGGGCCAAGTTGAGCAGTTTTTCTACTAATTCGTCCCTCATATCCCTCTGCACATATTCTAATCACACTCTTACATCCTTGTAGGACATCTTGCCTGACGTAGAGAAGCGCCAATCGTATTACATCCAACGACGTGTCCTATTCGCTACCGCTTTAATCTTGGTCGGTTATCTGGCGACCACGCGCTTCATCGAAGCTTCGATCAGATTAGTAGGCGGAAGATCGCCGAATGGATGGGACCAGCAAGCCTCATCATTGTCTCGTCCTCAATCCGCGCATCTGATCAAAATTGTCGACCAACGCCGCTCGAACTACCAACCGGGGAGCGCTCTGCTAGGAGTCACAGCAATCATAACTGTCACGTTGCGGAAACAGCAGCAGGAAAAGACTGGCGGTGTCCAGCTATTGCTACGATTTTTGACGAAATACCCTTTTGTTAAGGAAATCATCATCTGGAATGATGACGCGATGAGTAATGGCTATAACTTGAATGGCGAGGTAAGCTTGAAATAAGAATTCAATACAACCGGGTGATCTTCATTCGCGCTCATGCTTTAAGATACGGCCAGGATTTGTTGGCGAGGCTCAATTCTACCGATGACAGAGCTCCCTTGCCGATTCTCCGGGTAATCAACTCACCAGGACGCATGGGCGAGATTAGCGGACATATGGCTTGTTCTTTGGCAAAATTCAACACCTGTTACCATACTGTAAATTTAAATTTCAGCTCTTGTACTATCCTCGCTCCTTTAGGTTCCGCTCATCCTAACTTTCGGGCCCAAGCTCACTAACTGTCGGCTCGTTCTTTACCTTAGGACGAAAACATAGTCAATCTCAATTTGGATACATTATACACTAAAGTAAGCCCACTCCCAACGCTTGAAATACGAAAAATGACGACTGAATTGATCCATTCAAATAGTATCTGGAATCAGACAGCGAATCCGAAGCATCGATAGTTGACCACGCATCACCGGAAGAATACATGGCGGAGTCAGCGTACAATGTTTGGCAACCTGGTTAGTTGGGCGCATTGGATATCGTTTGGAAAGCGATGTCTGCCTTTCCCCTGCAGCATGACTTTCAGAGGGCAGCACTTACACTAACTCTTGACTTATAGATTACTCTTTAAACACTGGTGTAGTCAGCGAATTATCACGAGGGTCTTTGGCGGCCAAACGTCTTTCGACCAGGTACTTTCAACAGTTAACGACTGCGCTTCGGACATCTGAGGAAAGCGATCTTTGGCTCCGCATCCCACGCTCAGTCTCAAATGATATTCAATTCTCAATCTGGTCGAACCGCCGTCCGCTGAAATTGATCACACCTGTACAATCCTCGCTCATAGCTGATTCCCCTGCAAAGATCAATTTTCTGGATCCCCAGTTCATCGTTAGTCACTCCTTGATCATTGTCCATTTGATCATCGTCGCCTTGAAACTGGCATTCCCGACATGATGGTTTGACTGAATTTTTTCTAATTGCAACTAATGTCTGTTGTATGGCCGTTTGTTATGATCTTGAACAGGATCATGCCTATGAACGATTGAATAAAACTATCCAGAGTTCCGATCCCTTTCTGGTACCCAGCATGTTCCCTCGGGCCTTATCTTCCCATCATTCGAAACCAGAATCTGAGATCGGTGTGGCCTCCGCATATGATGATCGATCAATGCTAATCACGAACCTGAACTTTTCGCGTCAATGGCCACTCGCTATCGATGGCGAACTCTCTACCTGTTGGAAAGATTTACCAGGTATATCACACGATTATGTTACTCTTACCTGCTCAAGCTCGAGTTATTTACGTTTGTTGGTTGTAACACCGCCTCTATCTAAGCTCTAGAACATGGGAGCTTTGTTGGTTTGAACTTCGTGCGAAACGTTCAAGTAAACCAATTAACCTTCTTTGGGAAGATTGAGCCAGAGAACTGGAAACTTGAATCATTATCAGCCAACGACCAAAAATGGGTACGCATAGCATTTTATTTTGTCTTTATCTAAATCCCGTAAAGTAATCTGGATCCAATGAGTCTCAGTCAAGATTTTTGACTGTTTTTTCCGGAATTTTGTTTTTCAGAATACAGAACCAGTGATCCCTAGAATAATTACCCATCAGGAACCACCTCTGACCAAATTTGTGTATGATTTGTCGGCATCATCAACACTTGTAAAAAAGTTCCGGTTGATTATCCCGCAAGGAAAGAGCAGTCCAAACGGGATCACCGTGTGTGGATGGATGATTAATGAAGACTGGGTTGTATGAACGCATTCTTTTTCTCTTTTCTTTAGACTCTTCTTGGTCACATCTCTGACATCGTGGCTAGAATCAACTAAAAAAAAAAATAGGTCAAGTAATATATGTACTGTCAGTTTGTTCATTTTTGGTTTCGGTAGAGCTGTTGATATCTTTCTTTTCTTTCATGAAATGCATAACCATCGTGTGTATCGTTATAGCTGCAAAGCCCTCTGGTCCATCACACAAAAGGGGTGAATTGGAAGGTATCACTCTCAGCCGTGTATGTCGATCAAGAAGACAGGTTAGAACCAACGCAATCTCGTTGATAATCAATCTCCTCTGATCGGGCAATCTTGAGATTTCTTTCCCGCTTGATAGAAACAAGTAAAGAAATTAATTGGTGAAATTGTCTTCTTTGTTATAGTCGAAGCAAAAACCACAGATGGCACCAAAAGAATAAAAAAATAAACTTTCAGCTCGAGGGTTTCCGATTGCAAAAATATGACTCAGTTTAGGATTAGACTCATGCTACTACAAGCCCCATTTGAGGCCTTTCACAAATTTGAGACACTAGCACTCAAGTCCACCACAAGTCCCAAGATCAAATTCAGGGAATATTTCATGGTTCAACTGGGCTGGAGCCTTATGGTTATAAGCTCCATGCTTAGGCTTGGTTTTCATGAAATTGCTTCACAATTACATAGAAAATTGAAGAATTATTGCGGTTGACTTTCTTCGAGTATGGCTCAGCAGTAAAAAGGGAACATGCAAAGGAAATCATACGTGAACAAAGCTACGGCCAATTAGCTTGAATCACCCGCCTTGAAAATTTCTGCATGGTAGAAATGAATCAATCCATCAATTGCTACAAAGATTCAAACACAAAATCCAAACAAGCAAACGTGACTGTCGAAGGTTAGAGAGATTTGAAGCGATTTAACCATTGAGGGAAAGAATGGGAGAGACAATCAGGGAGTGGGAACAGAGAAATCCATGTGAATTTTCTTCAATAAATGCATGAAATGATCTTTGTCATTGCCGGAGAATTTTTTATGGATTTGGGTTTGTTGGGAGCGATACCAGTAGTTGATTAAGACACATGCATCCTTGCTGGAATCCTGGTCAGCTTCAGGTCGACTGAAATAAATACTGAGGTAGGCATCCAGATCCCGGAACGGGGATTCTTCTTTCCCCAAGCCTTGGACCAGTTTCTGATCAGTAATCATTCCGATTATTGGGAAGCCAGTGGAAGGATTGAATATCTCATTTAGAACCCATTTCAGTAAGGCTTCATTCAGGGTGCCAAATTCGCTAACGTCGATTCCTAGTGCTTTCAAAAGCTCCGAATGATAACAGGTAATGAAGTTTGCAAGGTGCTTGAATTTGCTAATTAACTCTTTAACGGGACAATGATTTCCATCCGTCTTGACAATCCAATTGAGCAGCGTCAGCGGACTTTCTCCCATTTGGATACTTGTCATCACCACTGGTACACCAATCATCCGTTTTTTTGATATCGTTCTCACTGTATTCGACGAATCATATAACTTGCCCAAGCGAAGATAGATGGTATGCAAGTTCTTCGAATACTCTGACGAAAAAAAACTGATTTGTCCAGTCATCCAGTCTTGTTTTTTCAACGGCTGCTTGACGGGAAGATCCATTTTTTGTACGGTACTTGATTCGACTGGATCTTGGCCCATGCTACGACTGGTAGTTGAATCACTTTCACCTTTTCCACTCGAGGAACTCACGCCAGCCTGTTTCTCAATCGGCAAATTTTCGTGGTCATGATGGCTTGGGATCGAACTACTTTTTGTCCAGCGGATATTCGACTCGGTCTGGAAGCAATCAAGATCGAACGAAGCTGTTGGCATAGTATAACCGTTCAGGATCACAGCTGAGATATAATCTTACAGGAAGTCCGTTGTTTTCTGCAGACCACCTAGGTTGACGTTTACTGCCAACACTTTCATCCGAAAACCGTGTTCTCTTCAAGGGCCTTGGGGGCTATGGGCAGGTGTAAAATTCAGCTCTTCAGCTTTGTCAACTTACGATGATTCAGAAATTCCTTGAAGAATGCCCAATTACCGTTGGATTCCACCTAAGCGAGGACTCCGTATGCTCACGACGGCTTGGAATAAGATCTTCATCGTTGTTGGAGCGCTGTTTCATATTTTGAAGTAATCACCGGGACAAAGAGCGTATCAGTGTTCTAAAAGCCAATTGATATTTGGTCGACTAGGCAGGGATCCTTACAGGAGTTGACTTGATTACTTTGACTTGACTATCGTTTATGATGAAGCCAGCATACCTGAAGGCATCTAAATATCAAAAAGGTCCGTAATTACCAAGCTACTAACCGAAGTTCCACACGGAATAACTAATTCTCATTGCCTTCGACAGTACTCTAACTTATGAGCCACCGGAAAGCTTCTAATACTACTCGTAAATATGCAAACCAAATACATCAAGTCATACCTAGAACTGCTTCTTCTACGGGCTCCACGTCTGACATGGCTGAACTTGGCTTCGGGCTGGATGCAAACCATGAATCTACCATGGGAGCAGAAATGGATTAGTCAACCAGTTCAAATCAAGTGAACACATTCCTCAAGAGATCAATCTTGGGATGGGCTACTTGCCGACCAACGATGCTGGATCATCTTGAGAAGGAATAGATTCATGAATCTGCCTGTCATGGAATTGTTCCCTCTCCAAAGGGCCTTGCAGACTTGGTGAAACCCTTTCAGCCAGTGGTTTCTCGACATCATGCATTTGGACTGTGGGCATTTGGACTGGGACATGTGCTGAATCAACGAAGCGAGCATCTTTGAAAGAGGGATGCGGAATCGCTCCAATCTCATGGGCCGATTCCATGATAGAGATCAACAACACCAAGAAGGCTAATTTGGATGGGGCCATCTTCACTTCCAGCCCTACGGATGTCTTGCGATTTGTAGATTCTGGTTGTGTTCAAGTCTTCAAGTGCTTTTTTTGTTTGGACACGCAATCAATCTTTCAGCAATCTGGTCCCGAGCCGCACCTGGGACAATTGTGTGTGTGCCGATCTGCTGCGCAACTCGCAGTCAATTTTTCAGAAACCTGTTTTATATCAAACATACAACTTCTTACCAGCGTTAATCAAGGGCTTGATAACAGCGGTTCTCCGTGTGCACAAATCGTCTACTGCGCCGGGATTTGTAGTGCTGAGCCTATCGGTTTTCTTTCATTTTTATGTGTCTCGGAGAGGTAAACCTGCTGCCACAGGGAATCGTGCCCAAAGTTACAAGCTATCTCAGCCAATAAGATTGATGTTTTTGGGCTTTCTTGACCAATTGCTTGGTAAGTTTTTTGCTGTACCTTGTACTAATGAATGCTTGCTCAACAATATGATCAGAATATAAGTCCTATTTTTGGAAGGAAGGCATTCACACAACAACCAAAATTCAAAAAGCCTTTACCAAGAATTGGAAAACAAGTCTTGAGTCCCTTTATCTACTCAGTGCAATGTAAATAGTGTCTCACCAAGATACAAGTAGGAGTAGTCAATTCAAACAAAGTTAGTCATCCATTCTTCAATTCCTGCCCAACTTTGCTTATCTCCCCTATCTAATCTGTAAAAGTGGCTGTACACATACTTGAAGGGTTGAACTTTTTTGAAACCAATTTGTGCATTGCACTGACTGTAAAGAGGTACTTACGTGCAATGTTTACCCTGTGTGTGAAACCCCCCTTCACAAGGTTTCACAAGAACATGACATAATCAATAATTCAGCAAATACTTCAACCCTCACCTCCCTGCCCCCCCCTAGCTTGACATAAGCCTCTCCTTTGGGGCCAAATGGACCCCGCGTCCCAAAAGGACGCTCTCTGAAGGAGAGGCTTATGAAAAAAGCCACTCAAATGACCTGAGTGAAAACACATTGAGATCCTTTTTTGAAAAACTGTCCGGATCAAATCCAACTGTGATCTGTCCAATCTGTAGCCTTTTATGTCAGGCTTCAAGGTTATTTTTTTGTAATTTTACATCCACAACAGGCTGCTCAGTAATCAATCTTGTACATGCTCTCCCTGATCATTGCAATCAATCGTTTGGAGTATCCAGATGTTGTTTGGACAAAACTCTCACGTTTTTTTACTATCAACTTATGAGCAACCACTTTGCAATAGAAATCTCTTGCTGATTCCCACAAGCCTGAAAGTGAGAAATGAGAGTGCAATGAAGAGATTCTTAGCTTGGAATCTTGCTGATTTCATCCTTGACAATCCTTCAGGACATTGATGATTATGTGGACTTTGACGCCTTCAGGAATTCAGCAATTCTTGGACAATATTCAGGACTTCAACACTCCTGTGAACTTTGATAAGTCTTTTATGATTCTTCAGGACCTCAACAGTTGTTTGGTGATCAATTCTTTGATTCTTAAGGACCTCAACAATTGTTTGGCAATTGATTTTTCAGGACTTCAATGATTCTGTCAACTTTGACAATTCTCTGATGCTTCATATTTTTGTAAAGTTTATTTGTATAAAGTTGGCACGGACAAGACTATATATATAAGTCTATCTATGAGTTGAGGTCAGATCTATATAGCTAGGTATCTGGTCTCTACCAGAGCGGATTCCATGGAGTCCTCAAATTTCTACATCACCATAGCTTGCAGTGCAGAGCGGTGGATGGGGATGTGGTGTAATGAAGACTAGTAGAAAAACCCACTGATTCCAATGGTGCCATTGGCAAATATGTAATCACTGATGTTGAGGGTTGAATTGGGTGAAACAGAATTTTTCAGGAAAATGGCTGGGTGGCCTTCCGCTCATTTGTCACAAGTCCCTCCCTGCAGGATGGGGTGCTTCGTGCCCAGCACCAGTATTGCCAGTGTTACACAGTGTCCTCCCACCAGGGAGGTACTTGTGTTGAGTTAGCTGCCCTCCTCCTATCTCAGCAGAGACAACTCCTTCATTATCATCTTTGCTGAGCTAGGTAAGCCTGATCACTTCACTTTCACTTTCCTTCCTCATGTTAAAGTTGTACTGACAAGAGATAACAACTTCATTATCAACTTTGCTGAGCTAGAATAAAAAAACATACCTTGGTTCTAGAATTTTCTACCTCATTTCCCCTTTTCCTTACTGTCCTTAAGATTAAAGTGAAGGGATTGGAAAACCTTAAACTGTGGCCTAGGTGTATTAAGGATTCTACTGGGTGTTTTTTTAGAATTAATCTCACAAATTTGGCCACTCATTTTTTCCTCTATTTTTCACTTTTGGGCTAGTTCAAGCTGTACCCATCTATGAACTTATTTTTCAAATGGTAAACACATATCATTGATTAATAATGATGATTGTAGCATCACCAATTTCACATACTGTACAATGCAATATTTTTGTTGCAGGATGAAGCAGGAGAATGGAGGCAAAAAAAAGGCAAGCTGAGTGCCGCCCAAGGGCCTAAAAAATCAAGAAACAAATGCAATGATTCTCCATGATCTCAGGATGAAACCAGGTTGGTTTTGGGTCAAAAAACAGTGCCCAAACCCAACCCGGCAAAATTGATGGGTCGGGTCATACAGTCAATATTACTGCCCAAACCCAACCCACCAAGGGGAGCAGGCAGGTCAGGGTCAGGTAGGGTTGTTTTGGGTTGCGGGTCAGGTTGCAGGTTGGGTCGCGGGTCACTTTTTGGGTCAGGCTTGGAGCAAATTTTGGTAGTGCGAGGCTCAAGCAATCAGAGAGTTGCTTGCAATTATTGATTGCACATTTGATGAATGCTGATTGTACGTGTTCCCAAGATCCTGAAGTCTCAATGGATGGGATGGAGTGCAAGGCTGTGATGAAAGCATCCTTCAAAGTTTGCAATTTTTTATTGATGAAATTTGAACGTGGTGGACTTGTGAAGCCCTCATTGTGTAGGCCATAGCACAGTAGCAGTTGTATTGATGATCAATCAAACGGACTCCCAGGATCCTTAAGGCTGAATTTTGTTGGCTTCTGAAGCCAAACCGTGGACCGGACCGAGCTTAACTAAGCCTTGACGAGAGTCATGTGCGGGCAGGTCTGGGCGGCAGCCCAGTCTCGTCAGAGAGGCTTACATATTATTACCCAAAGCCCGCGTGAGGCAGGCATGATTTTGAGGTTCTTTTTTGTATTTTCCACTCTGTTTTTGATGTTATTGTTCTCAAAATTTCATTGTGCTTTTTTTTCTTGTTCTATGACATCTTCTTGATCTTTATGTATTTTTTCACATTTTTATTTCCATACCAATCGTTTTTAAAAGAACAAACAGAAAAAAGAAAAATTCTCATTTTGCAGGCATCAAATATGCTTATACTGAGATTGCGCTCGAGCCTCTCTGCCAAATTTGCAAATTAAAGTTCAAAATCATGAACTTCATTGCCTATTTTCAAATATAATCACACACCTTTTCAAAATAAAAAAAATATAGGAAAATCAAGATTATGTAGATCTTTCATCTACTAGAATTGAGAAAAAAATGGCATTATAATGAATGAGTGGTGGGGCAAGGAAGGTTGCTCCCACCAAAACGGTGCTTCTGGGTCACACCGCAAATGTGTTTTAAGTTTCAAGTCCCTCCCTGCGGGAGGGGGCGCTTCGCGCCCAGCCAGTTACACCAGCCAGCCTCCCACCAGGGGGACTTGTGTAGAGATGGTCAAAGGGTATCCGTCGCGGATACCCGTTATCCGCTGGTGGATACCCGCCTGTGCCAACGGATACCCGCCGGCGGGTGCGGATGGCCCCTTTTCCGCAAATCGCCGGCGGGTATCCGGGTATCCCAAAGGATACCCGCGGCCGGGAGGGGAGATGGCCGGCTGGAAGGAAACCCTTCCAGCCGGTCCGTCGCCGGCCCTTTAGAGGGCGGGTATCCGAGGATACCCGCTCGGATACCCGCTGCGGCCGACGGATACCCGCTAGCGGGTGCGGGTGCGGA